TGCGTGTCCGGCCCCTGAAGTTCAGACGTAGTACAGTTCTTTGTAAATCCAGTCGGTTGGCCAGCAGCTACGACTGGTTCTAATATGTACAGGAACTAGTAAGAACTGATAAGGCCAGGCAAGGAGTCTTAGTCAGGACTAGAACCCGGGTCGCCCGCCCTCGGAAATCTCCGAATCGACGTCCCTGCCATTTGAAACCTGCGCGCGTCTTGTACCACTACCACTACCACTACCACTGCCACGAACTCCCTTCGGTTATCACTGCTAATAATTTCACAATCGATGGCCCAGCTACCAGACAGCCCGTTCGGACGATTCTTCAATGTAAACACTCCTCCCACTGCAGAGGAATGTTCAGCGGTGAGATCATTCATGCGTCCGTTACAGGGCGAGCTCTCTGCTCTCGAAAATGAGATTTCTCGCCTGCAAACTCTTGTTGAAGATCTCATATTGCGACGAGATCCCATCACAAAATATATCTCTCAGCATCAGAATATCATATCACCCATCCGTCGACTTCCTTCCGAAGTTCTCTCCCAAATCTTCATTGCATGCTTGCCTACAGCTCATCACGCTACACGGGATCTCACGCAAGCACCACTCATATTCACGGTTATTAGTCGGCGCTTTCGAGACGTAGCTCTATCGACACCGCAGCTGTGGAACTCCATCCATCTCACCATACTGCCTTCCTACAACGACCCGAAGGATTTCAACACAGAGGAGTACATCGCTCGTGTTTCTCACCGGCGGGACGGTGTTAAATTATGGCTCGAGCGATCTGCCGCACTCCCTCTCTCTTTCTCTCTCGTGCTCGAGAGGAAGATTTATGAAAGTGGCGCCTTGGGTGACCTCCTCGCTGCGACCAAGCTTCTGGAAGTATTCACCCAGCATCATCTTAGGTGGAAGGATGTGTATCTGAGGGTTTCGAGGGACATCGAGATCCAAATCCTCAACCGATTCGCCTCTGATGAACACTTTCCGATCCTTCAACATTTGAAAGTGGATACTTATTCTCGCGCAGGAGACGTGATCTCATTTTACAACGAACTCGACGATGATGCTACCCTCAAATTACAGACTCGTGTTCTAGAGCGATCCCCGGCCCTTCAAATTCTACATATGCACGCACCTATACACACCTCTCCGAGTGTTCCCAGTAACCTCACACATTTGACGCTACTCTCGACACCCTCTTCTCAGGATCAGCACCTCGAAGACGACCTATTCAAGTTGTCAAAGGAAACTCCCCACCTGCACTCCCTTGCACTCGCAGCTGCATTCCTACCCGACGTGCGTTCCCCCGAGCGCGTCAACAATTCGATCGTCTTCTCAAAGCTCCACACTCTCGAGTTCCACCTTGAAACCTTGTGGTTCTACGCGGAGGCAGACATCGGGGAAGTAGCATTCACCCGGTTCTTTGATTCCATTCACACGCCGGTGCTCAGGCGGTTGAGCATCATGATACAGGAGATCGAGGATATCAGCGTCACATGGAAGTGTATACAAGTCGCGCCTTTTCGTAACCTAATATCTCGGGTTTCGGCGGGGTTGCAGGACCTGTGCTTGGACGTACCGATGGCGTTTGAGACGCTTGTCGATTGTTTGGGGAGGCTACAAGACGAGAGCCGTCTTGAATCGTTGGAGGTCCGAGAGCCTACACACGCTCGATGGATGAATATTGATTCACAACGTTAGCACTAGATCCCTCTCTCACTTATTACTCCGATGCTAATGTGGATTTTCCTGTCGTCTGCAGCTGTTTATGCGGGTATCGTTGAGTACCTTCTCCAAGCACCAACACCAAAACCAGCAACTGAGGACGACTGCTCTGGACCAGACTCGCACTTGAGGGTCCCACGACTCCCACACCTCAGATACCTATATCTGAAGGACTGGACTCGCGTGGAAACATACCCAGACTTGATCCAGCTTGCTAGCGAACGGTCACAGCTGTCCATGTTAAGTACAAACGTATGCGCTCCGTTAATGAGTCTCCGAGTCGAATTTGACGAAAGTGCGCTGGAGTCGTTCGAGTTGTTGGAGGGGTATTATCTCGAAGACCCCAGGCCCAGTGACGGTCCCAGTCTGATCATAGAGAACCGATCTGGGATGAGGAAGAGCTTGAGATACCGCCTTGGGTGCCGACAAATAACAGAGATGGAGAATCTGGGAACAGACGTGGTATTGTTATACTCTTTGTTACCTCGTATTGAGGCAATGAAGCAAGTACTAGACGATCCGTATGCAGGTATCGTCCGGCCGTTTCCGCGCTGGGTCGGGAGCGATTGAGATTGTAGTTGGGGGTGATCTGGCATGACCTTGGGCCACTCGGTGGTGCGTGCTTTGTATAGCTCTGGTCCCGTCTGTCGCGTTTGGTGGCTTGCTCATCAACAATAAGGTCATGTCTTCAGCGTGTCGTCCCATGTACATCAAGCGTTCTGAATCGTTCACTACTGTTTTGTTGCGTACTCTTGACCTTACAAATGAATTTTATAACGTGCATAGCAATAGTCTAAGTTTACTCCTTTGTCTCCGTTGTCATTGTTGAAACAAGCACCAGCATCGGTCCGGAAGTTGGTCCACCGGCGCTAAGTTAGCGCCCAATGAGAACGGCTTTTTCTCGAACCATCATTGAGAGGATTTTCAGCTCCTGCCATCAGTATCAACACTCGCACTTTTCTTTCCTATTTTTCTTGACACTAGATATAACCTGCCGAAGTCAAAGATTCACGGCACTAGGGCAGGATTAGATCTGTGATCATGTCCATGGGGAATCTTCAGACTCGGGATGTTTGGTGGTACGTACTACTGGTTCGCATTGCCGTCGTTTTTTACTCATCAAGGTTGAACGTTGAAGTCCATCTCTCCACGTTTCACAGTGCACTCTCGCTGCTTTCAACGCCACTGACTACGGAAAATTCATCTGAAGACATGCTTCGAGCTTGAAGCAAAGTTTGTAGTCCGAAGCCTTGAGAGGAAACTCACTCATCCGAACTAGCCGTCTCCCGCCTCTTTGTCAGATTCATCTCAATCTCTTGGTCTCATTCGTAAATGATTTTCCCGTGCCTCCCCACTCGAAGCCGTACTCGTGACTTCCCCCAAGACCTTCTCTGTCAGACCCAGAGTCACTGGAGGCGTAGATTCTCTCTCTCATGTTATGACTCCATGACGTATATCGATCCCGATGTGAACAAGTTGGTTTGATTTATATATGTACCCGAGGAAGACATCGCCAGAACGTATCGATCTTCCCCATCTCCCAGAAAATAACTCATTCGCCTGTAAACAACGACGATGTCCCAAGCCACCGATCCCAAAGACGCAGTCACCTTCTACGGCTTCACTCCAGTCCCTCGAGACACGGACGTCTTGTTCAAGGATCACCCAACTGCGAACCCCAACAATCCGAACCCGCAGCAGGATTACTTTACTGCACAAGATTTCCTACCGTTGCCTGGGGAGAATTCGGAACTTGTGAAGAGCGTTCGAGAGTTTGTTAGGGTGAGTGCAGTACGATGATTGTCAGGGAGGGGTGCGTTGGAAATAGAGGGGACGTGCATGATACTAGGCCTTACTGAACGTTGATTCTGTTCATTCTTCTCTTATACAGAGAGAACTGGACGAGCAAACGTACAATCACAGTCATCGGGTTTATGTCTACGGTATGTTCGTCTACCAGGTATACTTCGTCTTTCGAGACTGATAGGTGAACGCCTCCCTCCCCCTTCCCCCCATGCGATAAACAGGCGTAGCCTTGGTCAAAACCCACTTCCCATCCTGGTCCTACGATTACACGACCTACTACCTTACGTGTCTCTTGCACGATATCGGCACCGCTGAGAAGTACCTCGCAACGACTAAAATGTCGTTCGAGTTCAAGGGAGCAATCGTCGCAAGGGATCTCATACTCTCGTTGAAAGGAGCAGAGGATCAAGCGGACAGTATTTGCGAAGCGATCGTTAGGCATCAGGATATCTTCGTGAAGGGGTGAGTGTCTTGTATGGAAAGCTCGGCTCGGGGACTACGCGGTTGACCGTGACGCTTGTCTTCCTCAGAGGAAATATCACGACGATCGGGCAGATTCTACAGCTTGCGACGATTCTCGGTGAGTTGGTTTAGAAGTCTCGCTCGGTCTTGTCTTGAACTTGTACCGACCTCGTTCCTCATACGCCAGATAACGTCGGAATGTAAGCCAAAAAGCTACTTACTACCTTTCCTAATTCAACGATACTCATCTCAACTCCTTTCCCTTCGCCACTACAGCCGAGCAAACCTCATCCACCCCGACCTCATCAAAACAACCACATCCGTCTTCCCTCGGCTGGGCTGGTCAGAACGATTTGCGAGCGTCATCGAAAAGGAAGAGTCCCTAAAACCTTGGTGCCATACGACGACTTTCGAGGTACCCGCGTGGAAGCAAGGAATCAAGAGCAACTTCGCAACGGACGTGAGGGGCAATGAGGTTATGAAGCCTTTTGACTAAATCGTGGGCGAAAGGGAGTACCTAAACCTGGTTTTAGTTTTTGGTTTTTGATTCTTGCAATTATAGTGCGATGTCGGATGAACTAAGTACCGAGAATGGTCTTCCTGCTGGCAGGAGACACTCAGAGCCGCGCTAAAGTCGTCGGAGTCCGGGTACTAGGAAGCGGTAGCTATAGGAAGACATCGAATCGAGTTCCACAACTGAGGTATAAATAATATTCTCGAGAGCCACGTCTCAAAAGCGTATTAGGCTGTAGGTGAGCATGAAGCATGAGACGAAGAAGTGAGGGGAGCTCGTGGTCTCGGAACAAGGTAAGGTTTCTTCAAGTTGATACGGCGGGAAGTCTCGGGGATTCCCGAGGCTCGTTCGCTATGTGCAGATCTAGAGAGAGATTCTCTATCAACTAAGGTGTGTTGGCGTTGTAACTGCATAACGAATGTATTATGTATCTTGAATCTTGAATCTTGATAAGTAAAAAGAAAAGAAAAAAAAAAAGAAAAGCGACTCGCTGAAGTGCATTAAGAGGGAATCGAACCCCCGGCGGGTCGAACCTACAATTACTCAGCGGATGGCAACGACCCAGGTTACCACTACCCCATTAATGCTTCCATAAAAGCCTTGTAATTGAGGTCATAGCCTGAGGCGCGAGGACGAGCAAGAGAGACTGAGGGAATGGGAGTGGCAAGTAACCATGCACTCATCGATCTCCTGCATGTGCACGAGAGAAAAGGGGGAACAACACAGATCGATAGCGGTCATTTCGGTTACGGACACGGACACGGGCACTTATATCCGTTCTCCGCTTTTTCGAACAAAGCGAAAAACGTTCAATGCTAAATCAGGCGCCAATGAAGTATGTATTCGGAAGTTTCGAGAACGCCTGGGCGACGGGATTACAAGCTTGTATTACATAGAAAAAGGTATCCTACATAGAAAAACTTGAAACCGAAGGACACGGAACGTCTTTGGGAAAATGAAAAGAAATCTTTTTGAATTCAATATTCACTCGAGGTCTCGGAGGTTGTCCTTCCCCATGGGCCGCAGTCTCAGCTCGCCCACAGTTCCCGAGGCTCGAGGTACGCGCGCCCTGTACACGAAACGTAACACACACCCTCAAAAAAATAATTCTCATCATCGTCATCAACATTCCCGGGTATCCAAAGAGAAAGTCGACACATAAAAAAATTTGATCAGTCGAAACCCATCTTAGTATGTAGGGTAGGCAAACAAGTAGGTAAGACAGGTGAGGGTAACGATCTGACGACGACGGGCGTCCCTAAGCAGCAGTACTACGTACGTGGGGGGTTGTTAAAAGGACGATAGGTACGACTAAGTCAAAGAGAGAAGGGAAGGGAAGAAAACCATCTATGACACTGCTCATATCCAAAAACCAAAGAGAATAAATAACATCTCCAATCACCGATGGGGGGAGGTGGGTTTAGAGATACGCAGCGAACGCAGCGGTGGAGACAACACCAGCAACGAGGGCGACAAAGTCAACCGCACGGACCTGGAACGCATCGTTCTTCGATGATCCCTTTCCGATACCTCCGACACCCTGAGACGCCCCGGTGCTCAAGAAGGTGGCACCGCACTTGTCTGAAGCGGCTTGGAAGAGCGCGGGCATATTATGGAAAAGCGGACTGTTGGCCACTCCAGCGGCATGAGGGGTCTCGGTCGAGTACGACTGGTACACAGTGAGGATGTTCCTTGTGCAAGTGTTGCACATTGTGTTGGTATCAAGGCCGGGATTGAGGAACATGAAGGGTGCGTAGGTATCGCCCATGTTAGTGAGGTTGGTAGAATCAGTCGCAGAGAACAACTGCTGCTTGACGCTCTCTGTCAAAGCTGTGTTCTGGGATGCGTAGGTGGAGGCGCTCATGACACAGTAGTTGCCTGCATCGTCTTTTGAGCATAGAGTAGCCTTGAGAGGGTAGTAGGCGTAAACGCTGTCATAGGTGGAGATGACGTCTGCACGTTTGGCGTCGAATTCAGCTCTGCAGGCTGTGGCGAACTCTGCGAGTTTGCTGCGAATGGCAGATTCGGAGCATGGGTCGTTGTCGTTGGCGGTTGTAGTGGAAGCGCACATGGTCTTCATGGTGCTGGCGATCGACTCCTTGGTGGGTGCCTCAGTGCTGCTGCTGTTACTGTAGGCAGAGGTGGCGCCATTCAGATCAGATGTGCATTTCTTGAATGAGGGGTCGGCGTCGAAGGCCTTGTAAAAGTTCAAGCAGGAATCGCTCATGTCTGCTGGGTACTACGACGACAAAGAAAGGGATGAGCTCAACGACCCTTTACCAACAAAGCAAGGTCTACTCACCGACTGAGCCAGAACGGTTGTCGCAACAACGGAGACAATGGCCAATGTGGACTTGGAGAACATTGTTGGCGTAAGGAAAGGATAGGAACTGATGTAAAGAGCGGAGTGATTTGTCGTTTATAAAAAAACAGACAAAGAGAGATGGAGGCACTGAGTACTTGAGTTCGGGGGAAGAAAAGTTGGGAAAACGTTGACCAGGCATTTTGGGGTCTTTTTCCCTATTTCGGCAAGGAAATCATGCCAAGCAGGTGCAAATAGAAACCGTCATGTGATCTTGACATTCTGACGTTCAGGGTCCCCTCCGCACGGACCCTCTTCCAGACCGCCTGCCTCCATGTTGACATTCATTTATGCGCTCAATACACGCCTATTCCACCAGCCTGCACGAGCGCCAGAGCCTGTACTGAGAGCCGTGCTCCTTTCAGATACCCTTTTCCCCACAGAAAACTGGTACCGTTCACTGAAGTGTTTCATCCTCCCTCGATCAACTTTGCGGATGTTCCAGACGCAAGAGAATACTGTCACCCTAATCTAGCTTCGTTGCTTTGTTCGCAAGTGAAACGGAATGTCTTCTATCGATCATTCGCGCGTGTGATACACGTTTCTGGGTCCTTGTTGATTCGTTACTTTTTTGTTGCAATTGCACAGGAATGAGGAGGACGTGCGGGAGCCTCATGCCCAGCGCTACCATTCGCATCCTCAGTCTGAAAGATTCGACTGGATCAATACCTCTCGGCTTCTGTACCAACGTCGTGGTCGGGGGCAATAGCAAATTAAATACTCCGAGGCTGTAGTTACTCGCAATTTGCCCGTGTCAACACCGTAACTCTCAGATCTCAGTCATTGTCATGATCCTGTTACTACAAAGTAGACCATCATGTATCTTCAACATTCATCACCAGTGTGTGATCCGCTTGTGCACCCGCCAATCTCTCTTGAGCTCATAGTAGTCTCTCATCTGCCAGGCTCAACACACGCATTAATGGGGTAGTGGTAACCTGGGTCGTTGCCACCTGATGGGCATAACAGTCGATCGACCCGCCGGGGGTTCGATTCCCTCTTAATGCAATATCCAGACTGGTGGTTGTTTGATCTTTTTTAGTCTCCTAGTACTCAAGTTCCATCCAGAGTTATCATGCTTGTAGGCAAGTGAATAGGCAAGTACGATGCATATAAGTATAGAACCAAATTCCATCCCTTCCTCCCGGTGACACAACAATTTCAAACGTTTTAACCCACCACACGAGAGGTCATAAGCCCGACATACACATTCATATGAGCGTCTATGCTCGGTACCTCAAGTGGAGGGTATATAGCGTCAGTGAGAGAGTTAGGAGGACGGGGTCGGATCGCGGGATCGGGAAGGAGGGAACATTGTCTGGGAGGTGGAGGAGGTGGTGTCGGAAGTCCCGACCAAGAAGAACGTGAGCTCATCGACAAACCTGACGAGTTTACGCGTTGGAAGCATGTAATATGTTACGAATACGAATACGGGGATTGTCTGCGTACAAGTCAAAACCTGAACTTGTCAAAAGAAAGAGCGTGGCGAGAGAACTTTCAACAACCGCAACCCAACACATCTGTCCAACCCGTGAGTCGCCACGTTCCCGCAATTTGAGGTCCGCTCTACTCTGAGTGGGACGAAGGTCTGAGGTTGAGCAGATCTATGAATTTTCATAGGCGAGAGAGATAGTGGTGGTAGCCTCCGATTTCAGGAAGCCACAGAGTTGGCAGTTCTGGTTCGGTATTGCTGACGGTAGTCCCGGGCACATGCGTAAGTCGGCCTCAATTTGTATTCGCGGTCTCAGCTTCGTCGTTGGTACCACTGGGATTCGGGTCGGGTTGGGGTGCTGGAATACCTAGTTAGTCCGCGTATGGGAAAGAAAAACGCACCAGCACGGTAAAAAAAAGTTCCTTCTCCAAACACGTTTACTCGAGCTCACAATCGGAAGGTGATGTATGAGAAATTGGAGTCCTGAAAAATAGTTTGCCAGCGAGTCATCGATGGAAGGCGTAGCCCTTTGCTGTATCGAGGGAGAAAGAAGATTCCAGCCCTCGAGCTAGTGCCAGATTGTCGTGAGCCTTGTGAGCGGCCAGAACTAACTTGACGATGTACATGGGATCCGATACATGCTAAAAAAGCTGAAAGCTCGTTCCTGGAGTCTATACTAAACGTCGAGCCTCCAGAGAGTCGTGGTTGATGGTAAAGAAGGGTAAAGAGTGCAGGACCCGGTTACCCGGACCGGTGTCGAAGAGCTAAGCGCCCTTGAGCGCTCTGTCTCTTACATCCATGTCGGTTGCACCAGCGATACTTGAATTGCGTGCACACAAGCACACTTAGATCGAATGCAAAAGATTGCTTATAACTATTCGTTGGAAGATACTCTAGGTGTGTTTATTAACCTACATTTCGATGTTTAGTACCTGAGGAACGCAATTTTGTTCGAATCGTTCAGAAATTTCCTTGACCGGCTTGATCAGTGATTGAGGACTGGGCGACCAGCAAGTCCCGCAAGGAAAAGACTGCGTATGGAGTCTCTGGCATGAATGGGATGTCTACAAGCGTTGGTGCACCGTAGTACGCGTCGCCATCTATTACTTCGCTCCGTTGGCTATACGGCTGTCCTCAGCTGCGGTTTTGGCTATCTGCCCGGTATGACAACACACCAAACACCCCAGAGCCATCATCAGACTCTAATCGCAGCATTGCAACATGAGACCTCGTCGTCCGGTGTGTCAAGGTTCAAACTCTCATTTCGTGCAGACAAGAGTGTTGGCGACCTAGAGGAGACGCTATATACGGTATGTTCTGGTGGCATCTCTATGTACTACATATGTGACACTACTGCTTAGAAAAGGCGCAACTACAACCCAAGAGTCGTTCGAGTTCTGTAAACCCCCATGTATGCGCACCACGACAGGAAGCACTACGCATGACCCATTCCACACACTCCACGACAAGCTAGGAAGGAGGGAGTGGCACACAGTGTTACATCTAGCTGTAAGAGAACCAGACGTACGCGTAATCGCTCGAGCCTACCAACTAAACAGGAGAATGTGAGCTCCGGAGCTACCGACATACTCGCCCCACGAAATCTCTCTCGAGCTTCCTCCTGACCTTGGGCTTTTCTATTCCGTTGCCGCATACGACAACCGTCTACCGATGGCTTAGTACTCTGCGTATTTCCGGATCGTGGAGGAAGGTAGTAAGAGGCGGGGCGCGACGAACTGGGGCTAGAGGTGAGGGGGAGGAGGGACAGCAGACAAAGTTCCGGGTCATCGAGTAGTATTGTGGGGGGGGGGCGTTAGAATGAATGGGGTACTGCGGCGACATCCGAACCCATCTTGAATCGAACGAGCGACCCTTCGAGCATCGGATAGTGCCGGTATCTTGGACAATATTTGCCGCCGCAAATGGACGCAATGTGGTAGAGGTTTTGGCGCCGTACAAGGAGAAACCTCATTGGTTTGTCGTCTTTTTTTACGTCCAATGGCGTCGACATCTTCTTCATCGGTCCAAGAGAGGTTTTCTCGGCTGGTCACCCGCGCGAAAACAAGCGCTATCACCCACCAGGTTCAGCTCATACCGGCCTCTGTGGAGCGGGAGAGTCTTTACATGTCCTTCGACGGTCTATTTTTGGTTACTCGAGCACAATTTACTCACCCGCTTTTCATAGGTACAACCTAGGTCCACGCTCGAAAGCCCGGGAAAGCTCCTTTGGAAATCTCCGCGATCTTCCATGGCACTTGTCCTCATAGCTCCATCCTTGGAGACCGATATTTTGCAATGACGGGGACGATGCTGACGTTTGCTTAACAGTCACTGTCCATCAAGTAGCGAGCCGCACGGAGGCCACACACGAGTTCACCAGAATTCCTGGTGTACAAAGAAACGAAATGATTGTGCCCTAGTAAGAGTTTTATCTACTCTTCGGCAGAGGTACGAGTTCCCTATAGGTTGTCAATGGCTTGAAGCATGCGGTTAACATCCACTTGAATTTATTGTTCACACGAATTGACATCTTCCAAGTAGCGCGCAGGCTGAACGTTTTGGAGTGGATATGCCGGGAGACTTGTGGGTTCAAATCAAAGTTCGATTCGAAGTAGTTCTACTAAAGACTCATCATACAGGTGTCAATGGGGAGTCAAGCGGACTATTGGATGGCGTGCACTTCGAGATCCGGGTTAAGATTCTATCGCTTTCATCCAAGCCACGAAAGCCTGGTGATCACCCAACAAGCACTGGCACAGACAGGGTGCAGGCTCGAAGTCCATCTGGAGGATTGGCAGGAGGTGAGGCTGACTTCGGTAACGACAGGCATTAATTAAAAGGTCGCCGCTTCACCTGGCGTGGCTTTGCCCTCGTGAGAGACTAACCGTAAAATCCACCAAAACTCCCCGATCACTGACAGACCCGTGGGGTAGAAAAGACGCTCAACACTTCCCCGCATCGGTCATGCGTAATGCAAATGGTTAGACCGATTCCCTCCTGGTCATTGGAGTGATCTGTGGGAGGTCAATTTTGATATCGATAACTATTGTCTTCGCGTATGATGCCTGTGGCGCAGAGACGCGACCCAAAGCCAATGAGATGGACGGCCTCCTCGACCGTCAGAACGGGTCAGTATCCGCCATCACGATCCCATCTTACCGTAGGGTCCACTGGCTCAGGTTGATTTCTATTCCAGCTTCGCGGTTCGATTTGAGCCGATAGCATTGATTGAGGGTCCCCGATAAGAAGATGTATTTTGGGGGAAGGGATGGTGGAGTTCGTAGGAAAGTGAAAAGCACTCAAACCCCTCTAGCGAGGAAGGACTATGAATCCCGTCAAGATAGGCCAAAATCTGCTGGGGAAATCAGACGTCACCAGACATCAAACATGGAATCTTACTGGTGGATACAAACTGATGACCAGGCTGCTAAGCCTTTCTGCGCGCTGCGGGTGGGGAGAATTTATCTCGACATGGAATAAGGAAGAATGCATATGACACCTCACTTTTTGGTAAGTGATTTGGCGCCAAACGTCTAGAATCAAATTCAGTAGCAACATTCTTCTAAACGTCGGGCATCGTAATTTTCCGATTTCCGGGTTCGCTCCCAGCTGAATTAGGTGATTTCGTGAGTTTCTTCGCGATATATAAACCCTCCCTTTGACTGGACTGATTCCTCACTCTCAGCCCTCTCTCTAGCTACGCTCGAGAACCAAGTTTGAACAAGCATGTCTCGCGATCGTTACGTCGTCAAAGGACCACAGGGGGTTGCTAATCGCCTCGAAATCAACGACTTTATCAAGAATAAAGCTCATTTCTCTCTTTATGTCCAGGCCCTACGTGAGCTACTCCCGTGCTTTTACGCATACTGTAGCTCTGGCTAACATACGATGACACCAGAGAAACTTCAGCAGAAGGACCAGAACGAAGTCGACTCGTTCTTTCAGATCGGCGGCATTCATGGACTCCCTGCAGCTGAGTGGGACCCTCCTCGCGGCCCCAACGAAGAAAAACAATGGGAAGGCTACTGTACGCATGGGGACGTCCTTTTCCCGACCTGGCATCGACCTTACATGATTCTCATGGAGGTAAGCTGTTGAACTGTACGACATACCTGTTTCCGTTGATTGACCCCCTCTGCAGCAAGCTATTCAAGGGGAAGCTATGAAGATCGCCGAAACATACACATTCGAAAAGGAGCGCTTCAAAGAAGCCGCTCTTAACCTGCGTCAGCCTTACTGGGACTGGGCTGAAAACTCGGTACCACCAGCAGAGATCATCTCTATGGACCGGCTCACTATCATTGTATTTAATGGGGAGGAGGGTTCTGTTGCCAACCCATTTCGAAGGTATACGTTCAACCCACTCGTGTCGTCCTTCAAGTTCCCAGAGCCGTTTAACATGTGGCAGACCACTCTGAGGCACCCGAGGGATGATACGGACCCGTACACTACGGAGAATATCGATGAGCTGAGAAGGTGGGCCTTTGGTATTTGCTAGAGACGCCGGTTTCAATGCTGAAACTCGTTTCTTCCCAGTTGGATGGAGAGGGCACAGACCGACATCCGAGACAAGACTTACATCATGCTTACTCAAGTTCATACTTGGCCCAAGTTTAGCAACCACACTGCGAGCGATTACTCGAAGGACACCAAACACACTCTGGACGATGGCCCCATGAAGATCAGAGGCAACAGCTTGGAAGCGATCCATGATGCCATTCACGTTAATATCGGTGGTGATGGACAAATGGGTGATACCACTGTGGCCGGTGCGAACATGCTTACTTTGCCCTTCAAAGCGGTTGACTAACTTGACCTCCGGCTGGTTCAAGGCTTCGACCCGATCTTCTACATGCATCACGCACAAGTGGACAGGTTACTTTCCATATGGGCTCACTACAATCCTGATGTCTGGGTCACTCCTAGTACTTCGCGAGAGGGTACTTGGACAATACCGCAGGGCAGCCCTATAGACAAGGATACAGGTGAATTCTTCTCGACGCTACATAGCACTGTCGAGCTCCAGTTCTGTCGCTCAAATGCCTGAATAGATCTTACGCCATTCTGGAATGCCCAACCCAGTTATTGGACATCAGCGAAGATTATGGACACCGCTTCCCTTGGGTACACATACCCAGACTTCAACGAGCCCCTTCCTGGAGAACCATCCGGACCGTTACCGACAATTATCGCCGAGAACATCAATCGTCTCTACGCGGGAGCTACTTTCAAGTTATTGTCTCGGACAGCGGCAGCAGGATCTCAGGATAGTGCGGCTAAGTCGAGGGTCTGGGAATGGACCGCCCGCATTCATACCAAGAAATATGAGGTTGGCGGTAGTTTCATTATTCCCCTCTTTGTGGGTAGCGTTCCAGAGAACCCCGAAGAATGGTTGACCTCTGAGAACTTTGTCGGGGCGCATTATGCTTTTGTCAACAGGCAAGCTCCAGTGTTATTCGCAGTGATTCTTCGGGTGACCTTTTTGCTTGAATACAGCACGCCAGAAAATTGTGGTAACTGTCGCACACGACTAGACAACCTTATTGAAGGGTTCGTCCATCTCAACGATTCCCTTCTTAACCGCTCGGGACTAGAGTCGTTGGAAGCGAGCGACGTCGAACCGTATCTCAAGAAGAACCTTCACTGGCGGGCTATCAAGGTTAGCATTCTGTTTCAGTTTCAATTTGGTGTGAACTAACACGTCGCGTCTACCTTGTTTAGGCTTCGGGCGAACCCATCGAGCTAACTCGGCTCCAATCCCTCGAGGTTGAGGTGGCTGCTACACGTCTTTCACTACCACTTGGTGCAATGTTCCCGATTGCTGAGGAGACAATAAGTTATCCTGGAATCACTGAAGGAAAACAAGGGGGTGCGAGAAGCGCCGAAGTGTGAAGCTCTGGATCAGTTTAAGCGTCAAAAGTCCTATACATCTATGCAAACTCTTACTCTTGAAATGTACTACCTCCCTTGAATGATGATCATATGTACACCAGAAGTCAGACATTGTGTTTGTGCTGTATTAACCAGGCAGATCAATGCACGGTGTGATATACTTATGGGCTCAACAAGACACCAGCTTCAATACTTAGGAATTTGAACAAGGATGATCATTGACAGATTGTAGACAGTGAACTTGTCCCGGTCAAACAAATATAGGTGACGATCCGAAGAGCCCAGAACATCTCTTGTATCACAGGCCTTGAAGTCCAGACTCCACCTGTTGTGACGTTGTGGTGCCCTGTGGGTGTAGAATCGGCTGAATCGCCGCAGTACCAGATAAGGCAAGAATCATCCCTATCTACCCGCGTTCCTGGAAGATTCGCAATTCAGCAGTTCCCTCGCATCCAGAACAAGCTAAGGGCCTGTTCGGGTCGCAGGCTGAGGCCTGAGACCTGGCCCCGCTGTGCCTAAATTTGGACCTTCGTCAACCGGAGGCTCCAAAACCAAGCCTACGATCCAAGTCGCCACAAGAAGAAGAGCTACCAGGAAGTTATGGATAGAAAAATACTTGTCAAGTCGATTTCAATCTGAGTAGTGAGCCTAAAGGGACCAGGGATGAAGGCATTAATGCACGGCGGTCGATATTTTACACGCTTGACCCGCAGGGATTTCGATTTCCCCTCGATGCGATTTGCGACTCTCTGAGATTTTTTGCATCGTGGGTATGAGACAAGTACTGGTACCAGTAGCTAGCATTGTATGGAGGAGGTATATCCGCGTACGTATATATGATAGACAGGACCGAAGAGATGCGTATAAGTATAGGCTCGAAAATAAACAACAAGTATGAATATCCATTCCTGCACCCCTCCTATGAAACAACTTCCAAATACCCAGAACGAATTACGGGCGTTGAATGGGCCAAACACAACTGAGTTATTTCCACCTAGTGTGGCGTTGTGGTACCATGTGGGTGTAGTATCGCCGCACTTCCAAATACGGCAAGGAGGATCATCGATCACTACCCGTTCGCCCGGACACTCGCAAGTTGACGGTCCCTTCGCATTCAAATCAAAGTGATTTCATATTTCAATCGCTGAACGCGCCACTAGAAGAAGTACCGCAAAAACGTGATGGATGGAAGTTGTCAAGTCGTTTATAATATGAGTGTTGTGACAAGGCTACCATCAGTCCCAGAAGAAATACGATCGCAGGCATTAATGGGGTAGTGGTAACCTGGGTCGTTGCCATCTGATGTGCGTAACAGTCAATATCTATACGCTCGACCCGCCGGGGGTTCGATTCCCTCTTAATGCAATCTCCATTGTTGACTCTTCTTTTTTTTTACACGTTTCCGAACAGTCCATGTATCGTCACGCATCTAGATACGTAGATAAGTAGCTAGCATTGTATGAAGAGGTATATCCATTGTCAAGTGCGTACGTATATATGATAGACAAAAACCGAAGAGATGCATATAAGTATAGGCCCGAAAGTAAGCAACGCAACACGAGTATAGATATTCATCCCTCCACCCCTTTCCTCCATTACGAAACAACTCCCCAAACACCCAATCCACCGAAAAACATACCAAGCGAAGTCATTAGCCCAACATACACAACCGTATGTACACCTATCCTCGGTAACGCAACCTCCGAATGGAGTATGTACAGTGCAAGTTGTAGGAGGATCAGTAGGAACACAGGGAGCGGGTCGGGCAAGGAAGTGAAGGTGGTTTTAGAAGCCCCCGCCAACACGAGCGTAAGCCCCATCGATAGAAGTAACGAGTTTACGCGTTGCAGGCATGTTATGAATATCGGGATTTTCTGAGGCACGTAACCTGAGCTTAGCAAGGAAAGAAAGAAAGGAAAGAGCGCGAGTGGACTTACGACGAAAGCGACCCCGTAGACTCTCTCCAACTCGTCTCGTTCTCGTAATGCCATGAGCTGTTCGAGGTCCCTCTCTACCTCAATTTCGACGAGTTGTGACGATGGTCCCAGGTTGAGCAAGTCCATGGAATCTCTCGAGTGCGAGAGATAGTGGTGATGTTGGGATCCTCCGAGTCCGGAGAGTAGGGGTTGACGTTCTGGATCGCTATCACTAGCAGTGGGGACACGCGGCAGTCGGCCTCGATTCGTGTTTTCAGCCTCTGTGGGTGTAACGTCGTCGTCGGCTGCGGCATTGGTCTCGCTGCTACTGCTACCAGGATTTACGTTGGTGCTAGCGGTAGCGCCGTACCCTTTGACCGTTCCGGTATCCCCTCCTTCTCCATCTCCTAGTCTCGAACCACCACCACCGACGACATCCCTCAACGCCTTTACTCTCCTCATATCAACCAACACATCCTTGTACGCTTCGATAGCACGATACCCCTGCCATACGCCCGCAACAGCTTCGAACAGTGCCCACCCAAGACCGGTCCACCATACGCGAACGAAGGCGAAGCTTCGGTACGCAGGTGTGGGTGTGTTAGGAGGAGGTACACCCAGCAATTGAATCGCAGCCACCCGCATCATAATTGATAGTGTTGCGTATACCAATGAGGATACTACGACTGCCGCTGTAGTTGTGGCGGTCGTGATGGTGAGTTGAGGACGATAGTGCGGCGGTCGTGTCAGGTAAAGGATTGCTCTCTTCATAGCCGTGCAGAACCACGTTGAGATTGTGAATATGAAAGGGTTGAGGGTGTATGTTATTGTGTATATGCCGCCTGAGATGAGAATTTCTGGAATTGGGAATGGGAGATTTGGGGTATAGGGTGGCTCGGGGCGGTCATGGTTCGACGGGAGGAAATGCGGGACGAGTGCGAAGAGTATGAAGAGGATGAGAAACGTAAGAGGTGCAAGAACGTAGAGAGCCAATAACCGGGGGTAAGAGCCTGTATAAGGAGAGTCAGTCAACGATTCACGGCTCACAGGTAAAACGTACCAGCGTAAAAGCCCTCCTCTTCCAAATCCATTTCGAGCTCAGTATCAGATCCAGGATCAGAATCAGAGCTCATACTCCTCTCATCTCCATTCCCATTGGTATCGTTCTCCTCGTCGACCCTGCTCAACAGTCGCTCTGGGAGTCCCACAGACGTATTCGAAGTGAACCGCTGTAATCCCTGTCCATATCCGTGTATGTTGGACGAAACGACAGGCGAATTTGACAAGTTGTCCACATCCGAGACCATCGTTGCAGGGTGTATATTGATATTCAAGTTTTCCGGACTATCCACAGGTCGCTGATGTTGCTGTTGACTACGAGCCCATCGCGCAGCCGTGACGGCAGCCGTGTCAACGCCTAGTCGAGTCATTTTCTCTTTTTCTGTTCTTGTATTTGCGTGTAGTTGGTAGAGAAAAAAGAACGTTCCAGTGTGCTAGTACTGTGTGGAAGCGAAGGAGGAAGCAGGCATCGTGGGTGGACCGTGGTGGTCTCTGCCAAAGTAGCGTCTGACGCGATCACGGTCGGCTTAGCGCTAAAATCATGTCATCCCGTCATCGCCTACGCCCGCTGAGACGGGTGCAGTTGACTTTTTTTTAGCCACCTTCTCAGTCAAACTTGGGGCCGGAATTGGAGAAGATTCTGCGTATTCCAGTCAAGCACAAACGTTCTTCCATGACCAAAAAATCAGGGTAATGGAGTTGTATGTACTATACTGTAAGGGGGCCTATTCGGACTCTAGAACTGAGTTCAAACTTGATTTTATGTAAAATGAAATCCTCCGAAGGAATGTCAAAGCTGTTCACTCCCGCTTCTCCGCCGATTTCCGACATTTCACCGTGCGTAGAGGCTCTGAATTTTCCCAGCGAAAACTGTTCTCGTGGTTTCACTGAAGTTCGGCGCTCGTGTGATCCAGTTTCAAGCACTATGATTGGGGGCCAATCGATGCGGTTTTCGGCAAGCATGAGAGTCCTTGAATATTGAAAAGGAGTCGAGTCTCAGCCGTCTGGAGTTCGGCGAACACTGGGTCTGTCGCTGAGAATCTCAAATAATGCTGCCAGAGGCCTAGGGGAAGCCAGTACTAGGTGGCATGATTAACCCTCAATAGCCTCGGACATCGTCTTCGGAATGTCATGTATCCACACATCTCACGAGGGATCCACCCCACCCAGTAAAGACGAGGCGAACCCGCACCCTGAGAGACTCAGGAGAGGCAGGGGAGGGAGAGAAAACATACAGCTAGTGAGTTAGTGCAGATACATACAGAGAAAGGAGAATCTACACTGGCAGGTGACCCCACCGTTCGGGGGTGGACAGACGCTTCAAAGCTACCTGGGCACTCCGAGACTTGAGTTTCTTCAGGAACCAGCGATCACGACGCGCTACATCTGGCACAGAAAAAGAAGGAGATCGGTCAAAATGTCACGGTACATACTCGCATAGTAGAGAGGCCCCGAGCCACCGTCCAGGCCGGGAAGGTGTAAAGGTACCCCTTTGGCCGTCTTCTTTCCTCCCTTTAACACAGGATGAGTATGAAGTCGGTCACGATAGGCTTTGAACCTTGTGAATGGCATGGTGCTTATGAACCTACGAACTGTCCTGCAAAGGTTACAAAATCATTGAGCTAGCGGCAAGTGTGGATAATTTTAGCGAGCTAAGCGCAGAGTCCTCGAAGGCGTTTCCCCTATCTTTCAACCCAGCGAGAACGAAGATTCATAGCACTTGAGTCCGGTTCCCGGTTCAAGCAGACTCTGAGAATGATTGAAGCTGAAGGTCGATGGGTGAGTTGGTTTCATTGTAGAGATGTAGCTGAGTATTAAAAGTGAGGTATCTCGGAAGCCCGAGGCTATGAAAGATCGACGGAGAGAACCTTGTTGAGGAGGTCAGTAGATACAGTAGTAGACGAAGAGAAAATAAGTAGGTGACGGTTGACAATCCCGATCGGCAAAATCCGAACAACTTGCACGTGCAATGCCCCTAAATACTGGACATCAATCGACACGACGTTTTGAACTCAGACCACCATCATCTCCAGCTACCGATGTCGTCTACGGCCTGTACACGCTCAAATTGACCTACTCACTGTCCTATCGACAACATACAAGCCGAGGCAAGATGACGCGAGCGAATTGATTCGTATTCTGGGCTATAAATCCAAGTTGGTGCCGGTGAGTTCTCAAACTCTTCAAACCAGATTTCGAGTCTGTACCATTTAAAAGTCAAATCGTTCTATCATCCGCCGCTTTTTGCATGCCTGTTCCGATTGCGCCCTCCGGCTTACGCAAGTTGAACAAAATTCACTCAGACTCGTCGTTTTGACAAACAACCCCGAAGCTCAGGTTGTGTTCGAAGATGAAGGATCGATCATGTTCCGAGTCATGGACTTGATTTTGTTCATTGTTTTCCAGGTCCAAGAGGTCCCGGTAACGTTTCGCCGTCCACGGACGTAATCTCGTGTCGAGGATGAGGTCGTTCGCCTCTGAGTCAGTTTCGCTGCCCCTAACTATCCGCACTATTAATAATTAATCTACTTCTCGCTCTGTTGATACAAGAAACTCCCGACATTATCAAGCAACAGCTCGACATGGATGGTACTCGGAGGAAAGCATCGCGCGTGTACAAGTGGCTTGAGTCACACAGATGCACGGGCTGAGGGAAACGACGCTTGTGGTCGAGGAGGTCCGAATTCCTCTCCCCAGCTCGAAGCTCGAATACACTTACAATTTCAGGCTCGTTCCGGATCTCCGTTCTGCTTCTGACTGGTCCCTGAATGTCTACCTTCGGACGCGGAGACCACTACCACTACCACTATTTCTCGCACCCGAGATGATATATGGATCTCAATCTCGGAGCATAGTCGCACCTTGTCGAAGTTGTGCCAGGGAGGGAACAAGACAAGTTGGAGATGGCTTTGGGAGCTACCGTCATTGTGAGTCATTGTCAAGTCCACTTACGCTCTTTCCATGCTACTACTTGGCTTCTGACAACTCACGTTGGATCCTGATATTGAATTTACTTATATCCCTAACGTCTCGATTCGTCTACATCTATCAATGCTAACGCTCGTCCTGACCGGGCTTTTAACGCCATCACCTCCAAATTCCCCCCTCCCCCCCGGCGCCTCAGTAATCCTACCCCTGTACTGTGCTACGAGGGAGTCAATTCTGGATAGGGTTCTTGGTGTGGTGATTACAGAAGCCGGAGGTATATTCTCTTTCAATTGCCTGTTTCGTGGACGCATCTGATCTTGGCTTTGGGCTGGTCGGCAGCTTTACGGCCCCTCTTCTTTCCCGTTTTTTCGCGTCTGATATGAAGGAAATGCTCTCAAAAAACGTCGCAAAGATGGGAAACAAGAACATGCACACCTTATTGAATAACTGCCTTACTACCAC